GTGTGCATTTGATTCAAAAGAATTATCAGATGGTACAATTCTCTATTTTAAACAAAGGAACGATGCTACTGAATGGCAATGACCAATCCATGTTAGTAGAAGAAGATGCATAACATTTCATAGACAAGATTCTTATTAAGACAAGTTATCCTTGATAAAAAAAAAAAAAAAAAAAATGAAGATATAAGCAATATAATCACAAAACATTTACAAGAAAAGAAATTACCTCAGAATTCCAACCGTCTACCACAAACACATCCAATGAGTAGCCATCAGTAGTTGAGAACACATGAGCTTCTCGAATATTGAGTCCAATATCAGAAAGCAAAGCAGAAAGCTAGAAGAAATAATGTGGTCAGTACTTCATATGCAAGTAGGTAACATGATGAATGACAATGCAAAAAGCCCAGCAAATGTGACCAAGATTTACCTTCTTCATCATTACTTTTTATAATTTATCTCACTAACAGCAGTTATTTTGAGTGTGCTATTACCTACAAATACCCTTCTGCCCAAAATATAAAGGTATAACAACTAGCAAGGTATAGGCTTTTCCTTCTTGATTGTTTGTCCTAGTTCAGCTGGCATCTGAAGGATACAAATCCTTGAAGATTTCAAAAAACAAAAAATTCAATTCAACCAACTAAATCTAACCCAGACTAATTACGACAAGTTATTTGAAATCAAAGTGGGTATTTTTGAAGGTAGACCAAGTAACCCTCCTATTGATCTCACATAAGTTTTTGCCTGGTTTATAGTTCAAGCACCATGAAGTTATGGCACCAGAAAGGACAAAAGCTGAATCTAAAGGTGAATACCCAGAAAGCTGTAAGTCTTAACATTAATTAACAACAAGAAGATTAAAAAAAAAGGTCCAATAGCCAGTCAAAACTATAAAAATTTAATGTAGACAATACAAAACTTAGGCCATTAATTAAAAAATTAAATTAAATTAAATTAATGAAAACCAAATGAACAGGACCAACAACAGAAAACTGTGTGTATCACAATTCACAACTCATTTCTAAGATTGAGAACGATCAAGCTTTGATAGTTTCATTAATTTGGTCAATCACTTTATATCAAGTTTAAGTCAGAGAACAAAATCATAGAAATTTCTTTTCAAGGTGATGGCAGAATATGTAACTAGACGGTTAGACCTGATTTCAATGTTTTAAACACTAGACATCACAAAACAGAAGTCAAAAATTAGTTACTCAACTCATTCATATTCTTTGGAAAAAAAATTCTCTATTCATTTATGATACAGCAGTCACATAAGCAAACTACAAAAAGAGTAAGAAATAATCCAATACTACAGAAATAAGCATTTTTTTTTTTTTGTCAAAAATACCTGACTGAGAAGCTTCGGTTTGTCAATGGTAGAAAATATCACTTCATGAATATGTACATCTTTTTGCCTGCATACATTTAACAAAAGAGAGCTCACTTCCCAAGGAAATGCATTACCACTTCATGAGTGATATGAATAACAAATGATCGTATCATAATTCATATTACAACTAACTCAGAAATGCAACATGTATACCAACTATCAAGTGGAACATGTGTTTGAGCTAATTTTACAATTGCATGCTGTGAACCAAGTAAATAGTGTCAACTTGTTTTGGGTTTCTATATTACATGGTTACATCAGCAGAAATCATCCGCTTGTTGAGATGTCATGACACAATATTCAGATAGAAATGCATTAAAAATGTGAAAATAAAACTTGGAACCATCAGATTGATTTTGTAAATGAAGTTATGCAAAATAGGAACTTAGTTTAAGATGGTTTAATATGCAGGACATGTGCAAAAGAAAAAACAACTAAAAATGACAGGCTAAAATTAATAACTTTGGAAATTCTCCCCTACAATGATGTTGCATGCAAGACACAGAATGTTGTTTAAAGGTGTAATAGCGTGCTGTAGAAACCTCTAAAAATTTGGAAGACATCACTGAATAAAGGTGAATTACAGGAATAACAGAACCCTGAGCAACAAAGCCTGTCAAGAGAACTCAATAATATTTAATGACCAGTCCAGAAACTCTTTATTTATGCTGCATAGCAACATAGTAAACTTAAACTGATAAATGTATACGTCGTGAGACTTGAATGAAGTCCCAATATTAGAAGCAAAAATAATAAATAACATCCCAAAATGCAAAAATCTTCATCGAGATACCTTTCTGTGAAGCTCTCTGCAAGGGATCTTTCCTCCACACCCTTAGAATTCTTTCTGACATCCAAATTTAGATCCTCAAGCTTGGAGCAAGGTTCAAAGTCAGCCGCACAATCCTTTGCTCTACTTACAAAATGATGAAATGAAAATAACCAAAGGCATCGACAAATTGCCAATGTACACTAGAGAAAGACTCAATAATATTACCAAAATAAGAGTAATGTCAAAAAAGTCGCCCACTCAAGATCAAATGCCACAACTGGAAAAATAATAAGAATAGAAAGTTAAGAAAGTAATAGATAGAATACCTCTTTTGTGATGGCACTACTCCTTCATTATCACCATTAACAAATGGCCTTGGTGTAGAAAGAGAAGTTGCAGACTGTTCCTCAGTACTACTTTCTGGTTTAGCACTAAGCTTCTACATGGCAAGGGGCAAAGGAGAAAACAAGTAAAATCAGAGAAGGAAGCAAGAAGAAGGGAATGAAACACTTCAGGAAAATCCAGGCTTATGTTACCGTGGCAGAAATTAAAATTGTTTAAGAGCTTAGGACCATGAAGACTTTATATAGATATGAATTTGTTAATAGCTTTATTCTTTCTCAGTGGACATCCACTGAGTTTGTATGACAGAATTGGACTACAAAAAAAGGTTGACTTCCACAGGGAAGTACAAAAGCTCTTAGAGACATTTTAATTAAGATTAGCATGCAGGTGTTTCAGACACCAGGCTGGATAAATTTGTATCCATTCCATCAGAGTTTTTTCTTTTGAGAATCATTCCAGCATATTGTTGAATATGCTGATGACACAATCTCTTTTGATCTTTATGTTTATAATAGATCCAAAGATATAACAGTGAAAGGACTCCCCTTTATCTAAGCGTCTAACAGAGAACCAATGAAATTAACATGCCACTTTGACTGCTTTATATTGATTTGAGATGGTAGCTGGAATTCAACCAGAAACCCATGATATCTTAAGCCTTTGCTAGCAGACACCATCATGTTATGCCAATTTATATTGCATCTAATGTGAGAAACAACCTTCTAACATTAGAACTTTACTACAATTTCTCCTTGATGTAGACCCAAAATAAAAATCAGATACAATTCTGAATATGTCATGATTCACGAGTATATAACCCAGCTTTCAAAGAACATGTTAAATTCCAATGTCCCTTTAAGAATGATTTTGATTCTAATTTCATTGCCCATCATAAATCCCTCTACTGCTGCAACTTGTAAATTCCTAACAACTTCCTAGCACAACTGACCACTCACCATCTATTTGCCTTCTTTTTTCCTCCACTTTGGCTCTCAGAACATACTAATATGCTAGCTAGCCCAGTAACCAGTGAAAATTTAATTAATTTCAGATAACAGTTCACTGTCTTCCTTGTATTTGAAAGAAACTCATTAGCACTGCCTTTTCATGCCATCATGTTGTCTGATCATAAAACTTTCTTTTATAAAGGATCACTACTTCAAAACTCAAAATTTGAATATGATAAACAGAAACTTACATTAAACTCAAAATCAACTCTTAGTACGAGCTTCCAAAATTTAGCTATTAAATCAAATGAAAGTACCTCCAAAAAACGAATATGATAAACAGGCTGCTGCTTCGGATCTGTTGCCTTTGCAAGAAGGTGCATATGTAACACAAAATCTTCAACTCTATCCATGTTATCATATCCATAACTGATGCAAAGAAAGCAGATCAAAGCACCAACTTAATATCATCTCACAAGTCTAAAGGTTCCTTCCAATGCAAAATTGAATCTGCTACTTAACTCAAACAAACATACACACACATACGCGCGCGAAAATACATAACTGCGTTAACACTTCCATCCATAGATGAAATTGAATTGAGATTGAAGAACCATATATACCTAGGAGGCAGGCGATTGAAGTGAGCATCCAACTGTTGACGGAAGTCAGGATTAAAGAGGGCCTCCTCGTTGCCGCTTTCTACCAAGCGATTGTAGACATCGTTCTTCAAATCGGAGATACTCGAGTTACCGAAGGTCCTCGGCGGCGACGAGCTCTCTCCAACTTCTTCCGTCAAATTCATGGAAGACGAGACTTCCTCGCTTCTCTGTTCCCGTGCTTGCATGTGTATATGCAATAAAATAGGAGCGAGCTAGGAAATTGGAAGAGAAAGTGCGAGAAAGGAAAGGAGTTGGAAGGAAAAGTTTATAGCAAGCTAAAATGATGTTTGACTGATGTTAGAATCTGTTAGGAAAACGGGGGCACGACTATAGGTTGAGGGCTTGGAAGAAAACACGGAGGGTAAATTCGTCCAAAAGAAAATTAGTCTGAATCGGGGCGACTGCGGAAATCCGGAATGTCGGGTCTGTATAACCGATAATGAAATACAATTATCTTTAGTTTTTTATATTATTTTATTTGTATGTTATGCGATTTAAATTTAATATATGAAATAAAATAATTATTGAATTATTTAGATCGTTAATAATAATAATTTAATTCAAAATGTTAATTTATTTATATATAAATTTTATATATTATATTTATATTTAAGAAATAGTGTTTATTTATTTTATTTTTTAAATTTTAAGAGAAAAATTATTTTAAAATTATATTATTTGAATAAATTTTTATTAAAAAATAAAATATTTTATTTTTAATTTATTAATTAAATTATTTTTTATTTTTTCTATATTATTTTATTAAATAATGTAGCCTTAAAATAATTTTTTTTGAATATTTTGACATGGAGCGGGTTTGAAACTCATCAAAAAAATGAAAAATTCACATATTCAATGACTAATGCCATTGAATCTTGAAGGTCAAGTGCCTTAAAATAATTTTCTTATTAATTTTTAAAAAATAACATGAATAAATACTAACATCTCTACACAATAGTATATTATAAGAACTTTTAATATTAGAAGTTGACTTTAGTTAAGTTTTTGACTTATTGTCTAAATGTATTTTTTATTTCTTACAATAACTACAGTAGTTTTTTTTTTGACATTTTTAAAAATTTTAGATTTAACTTTTTCTAGATTAATGATTTTAAGATAATTAATGTATTTATTAATTTTATTTATAAAAAAATATTAGTAAAAGATAAATGAAGATTTTTTTACAATAGAATAAATAATAAAATAAAAAAGATAATGATAAAATAAAAATAAAAATATTCATATATCTTTAAAGTAAAAAAAATAATTATTTTGAGAGAAATTTAAATAAAAAAACAACAATTTTATTTTACTGCAGGAGGGCAAAAAAAATGAAAAAAATGAAAATGCATGGAAATGGATGGGATTGCGAATTATTTTGGATTAAAATATTATTCACGAAATTACACTAGTGCCATCGAGACTTTTGGCAAATTACTTATTGAAACGGATTCTAAGGAAATTACGAAAATACCGGTGCGTGTTGAGGAGCATACATGACGTCAGAGAACCGTGCTATTTAACGGTCACCGACTAACGGTTTACTCAGAGGTGCTGTTTTTAACTGTCAGAAATCAGAATATACATTTCTTAGAGCCTAATTAAATTTAATTTCTTTAATGCACTAAATTAAAGGGAAATCTTCAAATTTGTTATTGAAAAGATTAATTTTGTAGAGGCGGAGTTATTATCACACTCTTTATTGTAAATAATATATTATTTTAATATAATTATTTGTTATATGTTTGATTATATTTTTTAAAATTTTATATTTTATATTTTTTAATAAATTAAAAAATATAATAATTAAT